GCTTGTGGTTTTGTGTGTGTGTGTGTGTGTGTGTGCATAAAGCTTATGCATCTACTATACAAATCAATTGAACTTTTCAGCAAGCATTCTCCCTTCAGTCAAAATCATTTGGAGAAGAAACAAGAGTTCTTCTCTATTTGCACCTTTTTTTTAAAAAAAGAAAAAAAAATCCCACATGTCAGGTTATTCAAGAGAAAGATTCATTGAACTGGTTTGGGGGTCTCTCCTAGCCCCTAGCCCTGACCTTCTGCCTTTTTTTTTTTTTTTTTTTTGGGCCAGATCACATTCATTCGTTACAGTATTCCCTTATAGACTGGAACTAATTTACAACACTCCTTGCAGGAAAACCTGCACTTGCTAAGAGCTTCAAATCACACGGCAAGGATTTTAAAATAATTATTAAGACTGAAACTGGCTGCCATGGGGAAGATGAGATGCATTGGATCCGCGGTTTCAGGTTTAGAACTGAGCGGCCCTTGGCCAATTGTAGCTTATTAAATAGGTCATGGTTAAAGACAGCAAGGGTGGGTGGAACCTCAAATCCCTATCACCCCAAGTGATAGCTGGCTTAATTAGAGTTGGCTGGATCAGCAGTGACTGTCTGACCACACTCCAAATAAATAAACCCCCCATCCATATTGTGACTAAGGTGTGATGGCTTTGCAAGTCTCAACTGGACCGTCTTGATAGAGTTATATATGATGCTACAATGAAGGCAGCTCACTAGGAAATGTGCCTGGGTTTGGCACCCAAACTTCTCATCTGGGGTTTAAACATATAAAAATTAACATTTTTAAAGAAGGAAGTTGTGATGGAACGTAGTGAGGGGGAATAGCACTAGCAATAGACTTATATACTGCTCCATAGTGCTTTACAGCACTCTCTGGGCAGTTTACAATGCCAGCATGTTGTCCTCAACAATCTGGCTACTGGTAAAATGAAAGATGGAAGGGTAAGTCAACCATAAGCTCTGTCAGGATCAAACTTCAGGCTGTGAGCAGAGTTTGCCTGCAATACTGCATTCTAACCAATGCGCCACCAGGGCAGTAAGAGGCAACTCAGTCCAGATATTATGTGTGAGAGAAAGAGGGTGAAGACGGTCCCTCCCTAAGAGTTCCCAGAGTATATTGAGATGCACATAGTAGAGTCCTCAATCTGGCAAGATTTTGTTTATAGGTGTGAAGCAATAAAGAGCTTGGAAGAACCACCAGGTGTTATTCTCAGCTTTGGACCTGGCATTAACCTTGTCAACCAATGACCCATGATCATTCTGTTTCTGTTTAGGTAAGGAAATATATCTGAAATGATGATTCAATGGGGCACATGGTGTCTAACATCCTATATGTTCATTACTTTGCCCTATATTCCTTTTGAGCCTGCAATACCCCAGTCAGCCACCAGGGCTAATATGTTGCCCTATTTTAGATATGGTGCCTACAGTACACAAGGGATGGTGCCCTCATCCCTGGAGTGACTAATCCTAAACCTGATCCTAATTCAATTTTCCTCATTGAGCCTGCAATACCCAAGGGAAATATCAGGGATAACATGCCTATATATATCCATTATATTTCTGTATTTTCTTACTTCGGTTCATAATACCATATTCAGCCATCAGAGGGCAGTATGTCCTATAAATCAGTACATTCCCCAAGTGAGCCACCAGAGGGCAATATGTCCCATGGACTTCAATATATTGCCTATTTTAAATGTGGAGCTTGCAATACCTAAGTGATCCACCAGTGGCAGTTATGTGCTATACCTTCCATACATTGCCTGTTTGTCCTCTTGATACAGCAGTATCCCAGTTACTGCTTCTCAATGGGAAAAATGGGGGAAGCCAGTCAATGTATAGAACACACTGCCCCCTGATGGCTGAGTCTGATAGCACAACTTCAATGGCGAATTATATATAAAAATAAACAAGTAGTAAAATGCAATAACACTACAATGATGTGAGAAGAAAGCATGCGAGAAGGAAGCATCGCATCACCTAAAGATTATCAAATATCATACCAGCTCTCCCCAATCAAAAAGAATTTCATAAAAGATATTCCAACTATAAGGTTCGCAAGCAATCATAGACTTAAAATGAAGATGAATGAAGATGAATATAATGAATATGAAAATGTTCAGATGGATTTCCATGAGATTCCAAGATGATTCTAGATCAGGGGTGTCAAACTGCCGGCCCACGGGCCGGACACGTCACCAGGAAACTGCACCCACCCCATTGCTGGCAATGGAGAAAAAGCTCCGATACGTCACGCGACGTCGCAAGTTTGACATGACCATTCTAGATAGACTTTAAGATTCTTTCAAGGGGTACTGTAGATGAAAAACAGATCGCAATTAAACCTTCAAATGTAGAAATTTTGTTTCTAAATTCCAGATCTTGGGAATTAAAATAAAAAAGTAGCATCATTTCTGTACTGTTTACAAGCTTCCCTTGCTCCTGCTTATCACAATTAAGACCGGGATGATACAAGTAAGATGTTGAAGTTTGAAACACATATTGCACACATTATTTTAGTTGGTTATTAAAATAGTTTTACTTTTCAAATGACGAAGTGGAAGACAAAGGCAAACTGAAAGTGAAATGGGAACATCTAACAAGCATGGATTTTCATTCCTAGGAGGATTTTCTTAAGAAATAAACAAACTGATACGGGTATCTCAAACACTGTTTAAGTGAAATTTACTGGTCCTCAGAACAAGGTGTTCTACCCCCCTCTACTGGTTTCATTGGGGGATAAAATCAAATTTATCACGAGGAAAGTGATTCTGGATCTCTTTTTAAAATCACAGTAAAAGGCAATAAGAAACAGCTCCCATACAAAGAAAATATGAAAACAGGAATTACCATCAGTGAAAGTACTACTATGTTTAGAATAGGAACAGAAAAAGATTTAAATCGCTATTCAATGCTAACAGGCCAGTTGTTGTGAAAATAACCTGAGAAAATTGGAAGGATAAAATACAATAAAACATCTACATGCTGTACTGTAGATTCTTTTGGAAAAGTGGCAAATTTCTCAACTTTTTCCTTAAATCTAATTTGTAGTCCTATCTACGTACATCATCTTTAGCAGATTATGTAACTTAACTGCATTCTCAAGTCAAATTTTTATTTTAAAATATATTTTAAAATATAACACCTAATAAAGCCACACTAAATAATAGGCATTTTAAACATACACATTTTTCCATTCTTTCGTATAAACTTGGAGATTGGCAACTGAGCACTAATGGTTATCTCTGATTCTCCTTCACATCAAATGAAATCTCACAAAATAATCAAGTTTCAAAGAACTTGGCACATGAGGATCATTTTTAATTCAAAGAACTTTGCTTGGAATTTGGATCATTTTTAATTCTTTTGTAAAAAAATTAAAACAGATCCGTGCATCCGGACTTATGAAACTGCACGCTGCACACTGCTAAATCAGAGTCCATGCTCATTCATGCAGACATAGAACAAATGGAAGAACACATTCAAAGAGACACACGTTCGTTCTCTAAGAGATAAAATGACAGTGTCTAACCATTATGCAAAGTAACAACTTGGGGAACAGAAAAACACGCTCTTCGCTTCCTCCATGCCATTCTGCTATGAAGAAACAAGGAATGATAGACTGTAAGATTGTAAAAATTGCTTATTTTCCTGTATAGCACTTTTACAGCCCTCTCTAAGCGCTTTAAAGAGTCAGCTTATTGCCCCCAACAATCTGGGTCCTCATTTTACCAACCTCAGAAGGATGGAAGGCCGACTCGCCCTTGAGCCAGTCAGGATCGAACTCTTGGCAATGAGCTGAATTAGCCTGCAATACTGCATTCTAACCACTGTGCCACCACCATGGCTTCATCTGCCACTTGTTTCTGTTTGTTCAAGATTTCAGCCCCATCCTGTTTGTAAGCCACCCATTCAGAACGACTCTTCCCAACTGTTCAGAATATTTTGTTGTATTAAAAAAAAAAAAATCAATTAAGCAGCTTTTACTTGCTCAGGTTTTTCTCGTGCTGACTCACGTTGAATCATAACCCACCTACGTTAAACATCTCTTCAAATTGCCTAAAGTTTATCTCGGTGATTTTTTTACCTGCGCCCAAACTGAAGTTCAAACCCTTAGTTGTTAACTGAAGCTTCACCTGCCAGTTGCAAAGTGAAGGTGGTACGTTGGGAGTTGTAAATACGATTTCAACCACAGAAAGATACCTAACCTTGCCTGAGCAAGAAAAGCTGAAATCCTCTAAACAGCAATGTGCAGGATATTTATATTTTGGAAGAGGAATAGCAATAGCACTTAGACCGATATACCGCTTCACAGTGTTGGCCCCCAACAATCTGGGTTCTCGTTTACTGATCTTGGAAAGAGGGAAGGCTGAGTCAACCTTAAGCCAGTGAGGATCGAATTGCTGAACCGCTGGCAGCCGTCAGTCAGCAGAATTAGCCTGCAGTACTGCATTCTAACCACGGACTATCCCTTTCAGGAACTGTCATTTCTTTTAGTTCCTGGAGGTGGCAACTGGCCAACCTGATCTGGGCTTCCAAGCTAAATAGGGTTAAAGGTTAAGGCACCAGGCTACAAAGCAAGAGACCAAGTTCAAGTCCCGCCTTAGCCATGAAAGCCAGCTGGGTGACTTTGGGCCAGTCATTTTTTTCAGCACAGCCATCTCACAGGGTTGTTGTTGTGGGGAAAAGAGGAGGAGGAGGAGGAGGAGGAGGAGGAGGAGGAAGGTGTGTTGGATATGTCCACCGCCTTAAGTTATTTGTGAAAATAAAAAAAAGCAGGATACATATAAACAAACAAACTTGGGAGATCTCCAGGAAAGTCCGTGTCTATACGCTAGATTGGGAAAGTGGAAAAACATCCCAGAAGGAAGGAAGGGAGGATGAACCTCTCCCGGGCTGTGAAGAAAAGAAAGTAATAATATTTATTCAGTCAACGACCAGTAACACGAAAATGGCACGGATTCAAAAAAAACCATCAGGAATAGGGTTTGAGTTGAAGACATCTTTATCTTACCATTTGCTTTAAGCATAGATACAAAGACAGAATTGAAGCATACCTCACGGAATGCTTCAGATGTATGCTCATGTTTGTTCAAGTTGATTTTCATTTCCGATATAATTCAGTCGATCGCCCCACTCATTCCTTCGCAGCAGAAAGCTATCAGATCCAACAATGCCACAATCTTAAAACGACATTTCAAAACTTGATGTTTTGGTTAGTTCTTTACAGTTATCAAGGTATTCCTTTCTATATGGGAGTGTCGCGTATATTTTTAAGGAAATCTAGGCAAAAACGTTGAAAAATATATTTTATTCCTTTGGTACTGAACTGTTGATACCTATATAAGTTTCAGGTGTATGGGGATAGCATAAATATTGCTTGATTTTAGGTGTTGATGACAAGTATTGCTTGCTTTGGGAAGATTCTCCAGTGATGTAATACTGGTGGTTATACACATATATCTTATCCTATTGATAATTAATGCGACACCACGTGAATCACACACACCATCTTAGGGATTTAGTTGCAAACATTATCCATAATTTAAAAACTTGTTATGCAACTTAAAATTATACGGGCTGTTCTTTCTGTTTGATTATTTGCGGCGACATCCGATACAAGTGACGTTTTAATCATTGAAAAAGAGATTTGCAAAAATATAACCTTCAGCTTCAAAATGTACAATAGAGACATAGAAAATGCACTTGTGGCACATTACTATTGAGTTAGATGCATTTTGGAAAGCACAGCAAAGGGGGGGAAAAGGGATAGGTGTTCACTGGTGTGATTATTTAAACATCTTGACAGAAATCCCTAGTCAGGCCACGAAATATATACAGAGAATGCAAACTGGAAGCATATGTACAATACTGCAGATCTGACTCTTCCTTACACTTGATCGCGAAGACGTGCCAGTCTTTGTGAAAGCTCGTCCTTCAGAACAGAGACAGTTATGAACATATGATCAAGATACAAAACACGTTAAAAGAGTAACAACTGAAGGGGTGGAGATCATATACAAGCAAACTCTGCACGTCAAGGTAAACCTGTGCCAAATACTGTAAGTGGGTTTGTTGATTTTTTTAAAAAGCTTCTGGAGTTTTCTAAGAACTATACAGAAGCTCATGGTGAATGGCCTCTGGACCTTGTAAATAAATTAAGTAGATAAACAGGCCTTACATAACAAAGGCGATGCAGAAGAAATGAGGCAAGGAAAAGAAGTTGTTTAAGACATTAAACAGATTATTTCATTTTAGTAATCTAGCCTGAAATGATAAGAGCAAGCTGCATTGTACATTAGCAAGATGCATTTAAAAGTTTAAATATTAACAGTATCCCAGCCAATCTTCTATGGCAGTGTTTCCCAACTTCAGCAATTTTAACATTTGTGGACCTCAACTCCTAGAATCCCCCAGCCAGCATGCACTATAGTATGTGGGGAGAAGAGAACAAGCCAGGACTCGCAATATTTACCTGTTCTGTTGAAGCAACACTTGTCCCAACAGAGCCTGTTTGTCCCTGAGGTAGTTCCATATTCAGATCAAGCCTAAAATTCAAAGGGAGAAAAATACAGCCAAGTAAATTAAACACTGGCATGCAGATATGGCATTCCATATTCCAGAAACGAACCCCAACCATCTCACTTAAATTACAAAGTATACCTGAGTCAAAAGTTATACATTACACCGCACAAGCTACAATCAACCCTAGAATGATTGGAATATACAAACCTCTACACCTGAGCTACAACAGATCAGGGCTTGAGATAAGCATAGTTTGGGGAAGGGGTAGAATTCCTTCTTGCTGGTCCTATTGTCAAGTGTGGACTTTGGGAACTGATCCCAGTCTTGTGGTCAACTTATGATCCTAATTTTTTTCTAAATTTTATTTATAATACAATTAAAAAAAAACATTGGATATAACGTGACATTCCAGTATAAACATTCTTATCAAATTATTCCACATTTTACAATCGGTTCTTCATCTCTAAATATACATCTAAGTTTTATATATAGTACGTATTCTAAAATAACATATATTTCTATCTTAACGCTAGTCTTTAATCCCAACCGTCCTCCTCAAATCTCTCCAGCGGTAAAATTTATCCCAGGTTTCAAAGTAAACTGATCCACATTTGTCTTTCAAAACCATTGTGAGCCTGTCCATTTCCGCACATGCTAATGTTTTATATAGTGACTCTTCCTCTGTGGGGATTTCTTTGCTCTTCCATTTTTGCGCAAACGCAAGCCTAGCTGCAGTCAAGATGTGTAACAGCAAATAGGTTGTTCCCTTATTGTATTTCTCTGTAGTTATTCCCAGCAAGAAGAGTTCCGGTTTTAACTCTAAGTCCAATATTAACATATCTCTCAACCAACTTCGTATCCTATTCCAATACTCACGGGCCTTTGGGCATTCCCACCACATATGGTAATATGAAACTTATGATCCTAATTTTGATGTTAATTTACAATCAGAAAAATGTCAATGTTAGCTCTGAGAGCATTACAGTCTTCTGCTTTAGGAAATATTAATAGTAGGGCATAACCTAGTTCACTTTTCCTCAAGTTGCTACTTTCCAGATGTGTTGAACATCAACACTTTTAACTCTCCAGCCAGCAAAGCTTGGCCCATGGATGAAACCAGATTAGAGGCAACAAGTTAGAGCAGTGGTTCTCAACCTTTTTAATGCCGCGACCCCAACCGTTCGTAAGTCGAGGACTAAACCGGTCGTAAGTCAAGGACTAAACCGGTCGTAAGTCGAGGACTACCCAACCGGTCGTAAGTCGAGGACTTTCCCTGCCCGGGAGCGCCGCACATGTGTGGTTCCGCCCCCTGCGCCGGCCGAGGCGTAGCTGGCAAGCAGCAGAGACGGAGCAGGCCGACCACCAGCTGGCCCAGCCCAAGGGAGGTAAGGCACCCGCTGGAAAAGGGGGAAAAATGGCGGACAAAAAAATGGCAGACAGCCTTGCTTGGCGACCCCCATGAAATGGTCGATTGACCCCAAATGGGGTCCCGACCCACAGGTTGAGAACCACTGAGTTAGAGGATGCTATGCCTGTCCATTTGCTCAATCCTGTGGGACTCTACTGAGCTGGAGAAAACCAGGAATTCCTCGTTCCCTCAAATATGTTTTTTTTCCCCCATGCACTGCATTATTTTGACTTTTGAATGTTCACACTTACCCAGCTTCATCAGCCATTTCTTGAAGGAGCATATCTACTTGGTTCTAAAAAAGCAGACATTATGAAAGATTGAGTTACACTTAATAGGGCAGCAACACAACAGAGATATTTACTGGAGATTTTGTACTTCAACGAGTTCTTGGCCATGAGAGGACATTTGTAATTGTGTGGGATGAACTTTCAGAGCACTGTGGCTGGTACACTCATTTTTTTTAATGGACAGTTTTAGGATTATGGTACTTTTATTGCTTGTTGTGTTGCTCCTTCAGTGCTTGGAAGAACATTCTCAGTTCTTCACAGCAGACAATGAGATGGGAAAACCTGTCCTCTCCTCCTCCCAATTTTCAATCCTAATTAACACGATTAAGATAAACAAATGGTTTCCAACGTTTTTTCTGCAGACTTCAAAGAAAAAAAACCCCACTCAACATTTCACCTACATAGATTGCACAGTGTCCACCACTGTAAGAAACTTGCACGTGAAAGAAACCAGCTGTATATTTTTTATTAAAAATATGATAGTCTCTCAATTGAAAACGTTGTAAAACCTAATCGGTTCTCAAAGAAAGAGGAGACCCATCATGAGGAAGCAAACTTTCCTTTGAACATTTATCCCCCCCGGGCCAAGATACTATAGTCACTAGAACATATAGACCAGTGTTTTTCAACCTCAAGAACTTTAAGATTGGTCGACTTCAGCTCCCAGAATTCCCCAGCCAGGTAGCCATTTAAAAGTTCTTGAGGTGAAGAAACATTGATAGAGACTACTGCAAGTGGAGACAGACATCTCTGCTTTAAGGGGTACATACTTGTGGTGTTGTTAGTGTAGTAGTACTGCTCATGGTGTCTTCCATCTGTGCTGTCTGAACATCTAAGGTTTCAAACTGCTGTTCAAATTTATCCATCAGGGCAGAAATCTGTAGGTAAACAAATGGTGTGAGTAAAAGACATCAAAAGAGTAGCAGGAGACATTTAAAAACAAACAGCAAAATGTATCCTTTTACCTTTTCTAAGTTCATACTTTTCAATGTAGCATCCATTGATTTAACCACTCCGGCCATGGATTTTGTTACCTAGAAGAGAAAGTATATGATAATCATATCAAGGGAGTTTTTCCACCACCCCCCCCGCCCCTCAATTTCCTTAGCTCCTATTTTGTAACATTGCACCTGATAAAAGAAGCTAGAAAACTTGTACTGTCCTGATGCAGATTTTGGAATGTTATTATTACAGCTGTAGAACTGCTGGTATGGTATTTTAAGGTGAAAAAAACAAATCTCTGCCATTCATGGCTACTTTGTAAATTACTTTTTAAGCAGTACTGGAAAAAGTTATTTTTAGATGGCATTTTGGTAAGGTTAAGTGAAATTTTGCAAGTGTTTCTTTCTGCCTCCATGCTACTTACATAATCTGGCACAGATAAGGGTTGTTTTAATATCACATTATACCATAATATCTTTTATTTAGATTAGCGCTAGTGTGCCATATGAATACAGACACAGTTGCTGGTACATCATAGTTTATTGTTAATTTAAATAAACGTAGCCGGCCAAAGCACCTTCTTCAATCATGACAGGATACTCAATGCTAATATTGTCTCGATAGGAGAGAAAATTTGTAGCTCAGGGTTGAAATATTAGATCCTTGGTGCTCTCTGAGCTTGGTGGTTTTCTTACAGGCATTTCATTATCCAACTAGGTAACATCATCAGTGCATTGATGACATTACCTAGTTTGGTAATGAAACGTCTGCAGAAATCCACTCAACTCAGAGAGCACCAAGGACCTCACTAATATTGTCTGTTTGATTAGGATCCATTGTGCTGTACAAATCTAGAGACTGGAGTTCATAAGCCAGGCTGTTGTCTGGCTTATTCAATAAACAATAATAAAGCAAACAGTGGCTCATCACGGTGTATGAGCACAGTCCCAGATTCTTCAGCATTTCATATGGAGATCTTTCTCATTGTTATCTGGAATTGCCATGGATTGAATTTATGGCAGCAAATGTTAAGCATTGTCATTGGCACTCCCCAAATAATGCATGTCAAGTACAGACCAAGGTTTTTTTTGCCACGTTATGTTCCTTCCTAAAAGAGAGTACCTTTTGTTCTAGTGGTTAAGGCACCAGGCTATAACATAAGAAATTGTGAATTCTAATCCTGACTTGGGTATGGCAGCCAGCTGGGTGACTTTGGGCCAATCAGCAGGAGACTGTGAGTTCTAGTCCCACTTTAGGCATGAATGCCAACTGGGAGACTTTGGGCCAGCTAGTCTCTCTCTCTCTAAGCTTAACTCACCCCACAGGGTTGTTAATGCGGGGAAAATTGGAGAAGGAATCTTAAGTTATTTATTATTATTATTATAAGGAAGGGTAAAAATTAAATATATAAATTGCTGCTTACTTTGCCCATCGTGACGGCCGTCTGCACTCTGGCTGCCACAGCATCCACCCGGGCGCTCATGCGCAGGAAGTTGATTCCTTGGTTCTTCTGTCGGATGGCATTTTCTGCATGGATCCTTGCCACTTCCGTGTTACCCTTCTGAACTGCCTTAAAAATGAAACAAAAGAACACAATTCTTCCGCTCTGTTATGGAAAGAATAGGACACACCCTCATATTGGATAATCCCATTCCTAGGTGCACGGAGACTTTCAGATGGGTGACGGCTTGTGACGGTTATCGCTGGTGTCTGTTTCGGTGTTTTTGTACTCTCAAATGCACCTGCAGCAGATCAACGCTTTGAATGGCTGGAACTAAGAAAAGCAGATCTCTAAAAATCATTTGCAAATGATGGCAGATATGTAGCAGGAAGCCAGTTAGGACAACCAATAAAGATGGAATCAAATCAACAGTCATGTTACCAGTCAATATACAATACACTTTTTTTGGAGGCATTCTAAATGAGCTGATCTTGCCAGCTAGTGTTAATAAGTTTATCCGCTGTATTATTTTATAACTGATTTTAAAAAAAATTATGTTGCAAGCCGCCCAGAATCGTTGGATACGAGATGGGCGGCAAATAAATTTCATAATATATAAATAATAAAATATTGAAATGAATGAACTGGTATTGTCATGGTATCCAAAATCTGAGAAATGTTAACAGACTGCTGACCAGATTATTCTCAAATAAATTATATTAACCCATCCAACACCTTAATCAGAACACTAATTTTATCAAGTCCAAGTCAGAACTAATGTTAAAGAAACAATTTGTACGTATTTGGGAGGCAGGAAATTCTGTACGTTAGTCTACGAAAATAAATTAATTTTACTCTTTGATGTTAGTATACATAGACAGAAATAATAACCACAGATACTCCATAGCAATTTTTATGTATTTTATGTATTTTAATGTCATTGTCCTAATTTCTCATTTTGTACCATAGAGAAAATGTTTATATCAATTACTTACCTTCTTAATTTTGACTTTTTCAATCTTTTCTTCTTTATCACACTTTTTTGCATTTCTGGTAAGCTCTTTGGCAGCAAATTTCAAATTGAAAAGATGCTCTGGATTTGAAGTTAAGAATAATGTACTGAAATAAGAATATTTCATGCTCCTAGCAATCTGAAAAGGGACTCTGAAATTTAAATATTTTAAATTTAATATTCAATATTCAGAGGGAGAGAATATTTAGACATAACCTCCCTCCAAATATAGACATGGGCATATTTATTTCACACCGTCTGTATTACCGGGATGTTTTGCTTTTATGCAATTGTCTGGGTTTAAAATTTTTGCTTGATCTTTATAAACCACCAAGAATCCATGCAAGAAACAAACAATCCTTTTTCTAGCTTAAACATGATATCAATCAATTAAAAAAAAACAATTTTAGTTATTATAAGGCAGGCTATAAAATGAAAATACTCCCTAACTTTCTTTAAATATAGGTCAATTAAAGCCACTAATGCATACCTCCATTAGGAGACTATTTTAATTCCAACTTGTGATTAAATATTACTGGCAGACAAAGAGAAATGTAGTATTTTCTCAACGCATAGCAATAACTGAAATTCCCCTTTCTGAAGCCATTATCTATACATTCCATATAATCAAATAAGCACATCCGCAGCAGATTTTCAAAGCTCAGTTTACCAAGAACAGAATTCTTTTCCACTATTGGAATCATTAAACTCAAACAATTCTCTACCGATTGGAACTATTGCCCATGTACAGAAAGCTTGTGTTTTTTTCAGCCACCATATCAAAGATCAAACTAACCAGTTTGGACTCTCTAACCTTCCAAGACCGAGTGGCTGTGGCTACCGGCGCCTCGGCATAGTCAGCTGATTCCATCGCTGACTATAGGGGGCGAAACTTTGGCTCCCTCGGAAAGGGTACGCAATCTGGGTGTCCTCCTGGATCCGCGGCTGACACTGGAAGACCAGTTGGCAGCCGTGACCAGGGGGGCGTTCTATCAGGTACGCCTGATCCACCAGTTGCGACCTTTTCTGGACCGGGACGCCTTGCGCACAGTCACCCATGCCCTTG